TTAGTTGTCCAGCTAATTTCTTTCTATTTTTAGTAGAGATGGGGTCTCGCTCTTGCTCAGGCTGGTCTCGAACTCCTGAGCTCAAACAATTCACCGGCCTTGGCCTCCCAGAGTGCTAGGATTACAGGCGTGAGCCACCGCGCCCGGCCTGCAAATCATTCTTAAACACGTCCTCTTTTTGTCCATGATATTCCTTCTAAATGCTGAGACCCTTCCCCTCTTAGTCCACTTAGAATTAAGAAATTCTTCTAAACTCTACTTAGGAGCCGTGTGAAGTCTTTCCTGACCCACGCGCCGACCCGAGGAGCGTCTGTGGCTGGGTCTGCTGGCCGCGCTGTCGCGTACGGCTGCTCCTTCCATGCTGCCTCCCCCGAGATGCTGCCAGTCCCTTGAGGGGGGACTCCTAGCACACACAGCACCTGACACCTGATGGGTTCTCATCGGCTGTTTGTCAGGCAGGAGGATGAGGAAAGGATGGCACTTTTGAGCTAGGACTTACCGGACAATTTCTAGATGAGGAAGCGAAGGCTCAGCACACTCACGTGAGACGGACGCTCACTGAGGTTAGAGCTGCGGACAGTTCTTGAGTGCTTAGAGGCACGTTCCTAAATGCTTATGACCTGGACTTTTTAAAATCCTTTTAAAACCTATTTGAAAAAAGACACCTTTCCTTTTCATGCAATATATTAGGAGAAATTACTGGAAAACCCATGACAGCAATAAAAGAGAAAGATGTGGATAGCTACACATAGAAGGATCCAGAAAGCGGAGGAGCCCCTGCATGGCCAGAGTACTTATCTTCCAGAGCAGCGGTCTCCAACGTTTTTGGCACCAGGGACCGTTTTCATGGAAGACAATTCTTCCATGGACGGGGGTGGGGATGGTTTCGGGATGATTCAAGCGCATTATTCATTGTGCAATTTCTATTATTATTACGTTGTAATATATAACGAAGTAATTATACAACTCGCCATCGGCTGGGGACCCCTGTTCTAGAGCATATATAGTTATATCCACTGTTTATCGTCTGAATTCCCTTGGTAAGTTAATGCCACAAGGGCAGGGATCTGTCGGCTTTGCTCACGAACGTATCCGCTGAGTGGCGCTGCAGACACCCAGCCGACGTTTGCTGCGTGGAGGAGAATGCTCTGCAGCTACGCAGGGATTACGAGCCGGGCTCCGGGCTCTGGTGCACACTGACCGGCCTGCTGTGAGGATTCGCTGAGACTCTGCACCACGCGTGCGAGCCCGCAGAGCCTACGCAGGAAGCACCGGGCAAGGCGTGCCCCACGTGACCGCCCTGTGCTGCGTGTCCTCTTCCTTCCAGCAGGGGAGCAAGGGAGCAAGGGAGCCAGCGCAGGGCTGGGCGCGGGGATCACACGCAGATGCCCCTAGCCTTGAGCTCCTGTCCTGCCCCTTCCTGATCCAACAGTTGGGTTGTCCCTTTCTCTGTTTAATGTTAACACCCATCCTGCTTTTGTTTTTTTGGGAAAGAAGAGGAAGACAATTGGGAGGGAAGAAACTCTGGCACCTGTGTTCTTATTTCCCAAGTATTCCCTGAGCCTTGAGCGTCAGCACCTTCTCCTCCGTTTCCTGGTTATCTATACGTTACACTCTCTCCTTGCCCCAAAGAGACCCTTTCAAATCTCTGGGACAAGACTGCCCCAGGTCTTCTCGAGAGAAGAGCTGCGTCTGTGTTCGCAGCTCAGAGGGAGGACCTGCCCAGCTGCACTGCGAGGCCACCTACCCTTTCTTCACTGCTGGCATCGTCACCCAGGCTGCTAAGGACGTTCTCGACGCGGGCCAGGCGCCCTGAGAGGGACAGCAGCAGGTTTACCACCTTGTCCAGGTCCCCCACGAACATCCTGTACTTGTCGAACTCGTTGGGCTTGCACAGCTCACGGATCAAAGCCTCCACCTCTTCTCCCAGGGCATTATTGAGCTTGATGTCCACGAGCAGACTCCCCTTTGCTTCCTGGAGGGTCTCGAGCTTGTGGGTGAGGCTTCCGATGAGCTCGGCCTGCGAAGACAGGAGAGACGGCGAAGATCAGCCTGCGGCTGCCAACGGCAGGAGGGCTCGCGCCCCCGCCACGTCTGTCTTGCCTTAAGATCAGCTCGACCCTCCCTTATTGCACAGGGACTGCCCCCAGCGTTAGGCCCGAAATGCTGTCCCTCCCCGACCCTGCTCAGTCCTCATGATCACACGCCACCTCTCACTGTTTTCCCACTGTGTGCAGCTTTCTGCTGACTTTGAAAAGTCTTTTCAAGATGGGCTCTCGTTTGAGCCTCACAATACCGTGGGTAAGCAGGCAGCCAGGCTGAGCATCATTCTTGTTTCATAAATGGAGAAGTCAAGAGTCACAGGAATTAAGAGACTCGCCCAGGGTCTCAGAGCTGACGCGACTACTGATCGCAGCTGCCATGCATGGAGCAGCGACGTGCGCCGCACACTGCGGAGAAGCCCCACGGTGGTTCCCGCGTCCTGACCTCCCCGCAGTCGAGCCACAGATCCGCTCTCACGCGCACGCAGCGAGCGGGCAACGAGGGCTCTGCGAGGCGAGGGGCCTAAGGCAGGGGCACCCGCGGGAGGGCTGCCTCGAACTCGGGCCGGTCTGACGCCAGGGGCCCCTCGCGCGGCCAGGAATACTGACGCCGAGACCTTTACCAGAAAGTCAGGCCCTCGTTCTTTCTGCCTCACCTCACTGTCTCCAGCCATCGGCTGTGCCATTTGACAGCTTAATCACAAATTTCTGTACCTATAAAACAGGGTTACACAAACATCCAATATATTTAACTGCAGAATGAAGTAAATGTCTTAGTGGCTTCAAATCTGACTTCATTCATGTTAAGTATCTCCTTTTGCACAGGAGAAACTGAACTCTATGGTTTTTACAATTAGCCTTTCATTTTTCTCTTAGCCTAAAGTAGCCAAGTGGAAAAAGGACATAATCTTTGTTGGTTGAAACCTATTTCTTTACCAAGAGAGAAGGTTCCAGTTCAAAAATTGTGTGTGTCTACATACACACCAAGTTGGGTGGCTTCAACTGGAAGTGTGGTTAAAAATAAAGGTCACAACCTTGTTGTTGGAGGATACCTTTAAAAAAGGAAAAAAATCCAGGGAAAATATAAATATTTTTGACTCACAGAATTAAAGGGTACTGACAACTTTTTGTACTATTTCTTCAACATTGGCAACAGTGAAGGTCCGTCACGAATAAAATCACAATGACATAGTGAAATATTTATTTCTTCATCATCTGCTCATTTGGAGCTGGACCATCAGAGGAACTTCAGTGTTAGGTTCGTAATGTCCTTGCAATGACCAGCTCTGGCTTTAATGCTGACGTTTTTTTGTCTCAATATGCCTAGTCCCAGAGCCTGGGTGGCTAAAACGTTGACATCTCATCATGCGGTATGATCTTTGGCTTTCCTCAAGTTGTTTAGACTAAGTCAACGCAAAAGACAATTGTAGTAGTGGGAAAAAATGTACAGTGTATAAGCATATGAGCCCAGAAAAATGCAGTGTGAGAGAATATTGTTTAATGTTAATTATTTAATTTTCCTTATCTTCTGGAAAACTCCATTGTTTCCCAAACAAGCAATTCTGGCTGGCAGCTATGGTATTTGCCTGCAAGATGACATGCTGGTACCTCCAGCAAAACACCTAGCAGAATGTGATCTTTATTGTGATATCGGTTCATGTGAAAAGAATAGCAAGGACACTGGAATGGAAAGCAGAAGGAAAAATAAACGCTGCATGCTGCTGTTTCCCAACATTCTTGTTGGACCAGGTAAGACAAGCCAAAAGTCATTATTTCTGTTTTTCAGCTAGATAATGAGAGAGACTAACATCTACGTGAAGTCAGCCCAGGGGTTTTTAAGCTTGTAGGGGTGCATTTCTAGATGTTACTGGATGATACTTTCTTACAGAAAACAAAACATTCTTACCCCTCCAATCTCAGGAAAAGGCCTTTGGCTAATTCAAATTTTTGGCATCCATTTCAACCTTGTGTCTTGAGAAGTATATTATCTAGAAAATACTACTTACAGACCAACTAGTGGAAAGAAGATGTAACAGCCTCATGTTTTTCTTTATTCCCATATGATTTATTTTGAAACTACTGTGTGTCATTTCTAGAAGGCACTAAAGGCACTTTTATTAATAATCGATGTTTTTAAGAAATCCTCATGGCTCTCAATGGCTGGTACCTTAAGGGACACGTGTGATGCTTATCAATTTGCAAGGATAGTAGTCTGTCCTTGCAGTGGGCTGAGTGGCGGGAGAGGGGAGAACTCAGCTCCTTGAGGACATCGGCAGGACTCGGGGCAGCTCTGAGTGCAGTTCAGGGGCTCAAAAGAGCTTGACACAGCTGCACGGCAGCCGGGAACCAGGCTCAGTCTCATCCCGTCTTTCCTTCCCAGAGACATCAACGCCAGTGTGTCTGTCACAGGAGCTTGGTGTAACAGAATGAGATGAAAATGTCTAGGACTGATACAGGGAGGCTTCTGTAGGAGGAACCAATATACGTTTTGAGGCATTTTCATTTTTTTTGTTCTGTGTGAGAGACAGGGTCTTGGTCTGTTGCCTGGGCTAGAGTGCAGTGGCATCATCATAGCTCACTGCGACCTCAAACTCCTGGGCTCAAGTGATCCTTCATCTCAGCCTCCCAAGCAGCCTGGACTATGGGGCGTGTGCCACCACACCAGGCTAATTTTTCTATTTTTTGTAGAGATAGGGTCTTGCTATGTTGCCCTAGTTGGTCTTGAACTCCTGGCTTCAAGCAATCCTCCCACCTCAGCCTCCCAAAGTGCTGGGATGACAGGCGTAAGCCACATTCTCATTTCTGAGAGCTGTTTGCTGGGCTATGATGGGATATCTCAGAGCTCAGCCACCGGTGCTAAGGTAAGTATTACTGAGCGGTCACGTCAGTCACTCTCAGCTGAATGTGACTTATTTGGATGGCACCTGGAATTTTTTTTTTACTCTACCAAGCCCTTAAAAAAAGGTATTTGAGTAACTGAAGGCAACGAAGGAAACCTGGCTGTACTAAATAGCCATTTATTTGACAGGCAAGTCTCTTAAAAAAAAACAACAACAACAACAAAAAAAACTCCTACCAATTCCTACCAGCAGAATTCACTGGGGGAAGAAGAAGAGGTGTGGGATTTTTTTGTTTTTTAAATAACACTAGTCTCTCAGGAGCTTCTTAATTTGTAAAAATCATTGACATTTATCCACTTAACTTCTCATCTGGCATAAACTGTTAACTCGCCCTGCACAGAGATGCCATTTATAAGGGTTCTTTCTGTAAACATAGCTGTGCAGCCCCTCCCCCGCACCGCACCACCTGTGTGCAGAAAACCCTGAGCTGGGCCCTTCCTCGCTGCAGCAGGCTGAGCACTGAAGCAGAGTCAGGAGACTGATGGGAAATTCACCATCAGGCAAGACTCTGGACCTTCTGTGTCTTGGTTAATCAAAGCAAGAGGATAATAATGCCTGCCTAAAACTAATAATAATGTCTAATTATCGAGCTCCTTCTCTGTGCCAGGCACTAGTTAAATGTTTCACTGTTCAGTTACTACTTGTAATAACCCAGTGAGATCGGTATCATTACCATTTTACTGATGAAGAAAGTGAGGCAGATGAGGTTATTTAACTTGCCCCAGCCCATACAGTTCGTAAGTGGCAGAGCCAGGCTTCAAAGTAGATCATCTGGCTTCAGGGTTCAGATTTTAAATCACTACATTAAAATAGCTCATAAGAATGTTATGAGGCTCAAATGAAACAGGCTGGTGCACGCACTTTGGAAAACAGGAGGCTGTGTGTGCTATCACGTGATTAGAGGACAATGTGAGGTACACACCCACTCATTTTAAGGAGACCCCTCTAAGGGGAACACCCAACTTCTCCCCGACCCCGCCCACAAGACTGCGTTGCTGTCTGCACAGAGAACTTGTGCGGACGGTGCTGGCCTCCGTTGTCTGTCTTTATCTCAAACCAGAGTCACGCAGGACCACTGGGCAAGGCTGGGGTTTAGGAATGCAGTGGAAGTCAGGCTTCTGCTGGTAAAAACCAGGGCTAGAGAAAGCCGTCTCCACCGCGCAGGCTTGGTTGTTCCTTTGTTTGCTCTTACACGGGAGGATCCCGGCAGCAGCAGCACGTCACCGGGTCCCTTAGCTACATTTCTCCCGAGAGAGTACAGCCACTGCATCAAACCTCCACCCCTGGCTGCATGACCCGATCACAGAAAGATCATGGGGACCTGGCTGCTATTTCAAATATTCTCTGGCACGTTCTCTGTCAAGAGTGGTTCTTTATGGTTTCCTGTTGGGAAGGCTTGTGACCAGAAAGTCGTCCTATCTACGTAGCATGGTCTCTTGGTTCCAGTTATCAGGGATGTTTGATAACACACCAGAAACAATATTAAATCTCTCCAAATTCAACTGAACTCATCACCTCCCCTCCCCAGCTTGGTCTCCCTGTTTTCCTTGTTTGAGTTGTGGCATCACCTGGGCCTGGAGCCCGGGAGGCAGCCCTCACTCTGCCTCTCTTCCACCTGCTACGTCTCATCTCTCGGGAGGTTCTCCCATTTCATGTCTTCATTTGATTAACTGCTCTTTCACTGCCCTGCCCTGACACCCCCTCCTCACTGTCCTGGATGGCTGTGCGACCCGCCCCGCCAAGGACCCTCCTGCCAGAGTGACTTCTCTAAAATGCAAATCTGCCAGGACTCTGCCTCCTGATAAGCCCTGGGGGGCACCAGCCCCCTGTTCCTCTCCCCCACTTGCTACAACTGAACCCCTGGTTCTGAAGAGCTCTCTGGAAAGTCAACCACAGCAGGGACGGGGGAGGGCAGTCATCCCTGAAGTGCAACCCATGATGGGGGTTAGATTTCCTGTTTTTTCTCCCCTCTTTTACGTTCTACCTCTGACCTGAAGATGCCCCGGTGCAGAGCTGCTCGCAGGGAGAGAGCCCTGCCCTTAAAACCCGAGGACGCGGGGGCCTCTGAGCTGCAGGGG